TATACAATCAAGCAGCTAGGCATGCAGACTGCTTCTACCAACATTGGTGAAAGCAGTCCATCCGTGAAGTTTCCTGGCTACTAAATATTCCACACTCAACTATTTATTGGTATTATATGAAAGTGGAAGCAACTGGGAACAACAGCAACTCAACCACCAAGTGGTAGCCCACGTAAAATGACAGAGTGGGGGAAAAGCACAGAAGTCGCCAACTGTCTGCAGAGTCAATAGCTAAAGACCTCCAAACTTCATGTGGCCTTCAGATTAGCCCACAACAGTGCGTAGAGAGCTTCATGGAATGGGTTTCCATGGCCGAGCAGCTGCATCCAAGCCTTACATCACCAAGTGCAATGCAAAGCGGCTGATGCCGTGGTGTAAAGCACGCCGCCACTGGACTCTAGAGCAGTGGAGACGTGTTCTCTGGAGTACGAATCATGCATCTGTCTGGTAATCCGATGGACATGTCTGGGTTTGGCGGTTGCGAGGAGAACAGTACTTGTCTGACTGCATTGTGCCAAGTGTAAAGTGTAGTGGATGGGGATTATGGTGTGGGGTTGTTTTTCAGGTGTTGGGCTTGGCCCCCTAGTTCCAGTGAAGTGAACTCTTGAGGCGTCAGCATACCAAGACATTTTGGACAGTTTCATGCTCCAAGTGAAGACTTGTTCTCTGGAGCAATCACGCGTCTGTCTGGCAATCCGATGGACGTGTCTAGATTTGCTGAATGCCAGGAGAACAGTACTTGCAAGTGAAAGTTTGCTGGAGGGGGGATTATGGTGTGGGGGTGTTTTTCAGGGGTTGGTCTCTCTGGCAATCCGATGGACGTGTCTAGGTTTGCCGGTTGCCAGGAGAACAGTACTTGCAAGTGGAAAGTTTGGCGGAGGGGGGATTATGGTGTGGGGGTGTTTTTTCAGGGGTTGGGCTTGGCCCCTTAATTCCAGTGAAGGAAACTCTTAAGGCGTCAGCATTTTGGACAATTTCATGCTTGAAACTTTGTGGGAAGAGTTTGGGGATGGCCCCTTCCTGTTCCAACATGACTGCCCCCCAGTGTACAAAGCAAGGTCCATAAAGACATGGATGAGGGAGTTTGGGGTGGAGGAACTTGACTGTCCTGCAGAGTCCTGACCTCAACCCCATAGAACACCTTTGGGATGAATTAGAGCGGAGACTGATACTTTGATGCTGCCTTCAGTGCTTCCAGGAGGCACAAGTGACATCACCATGCCTCTTGGCAGAGATGAAAGCTCGAAATCTGGTGACATTGCTCTCAAGCTCAGTGAGAGAGTGGAATTTTCAGCTCCCAGTTTTGCCAGGAGGTGGAGACAGCAACGGTTGGTTTAAAATGACTTTTTAAAGCCATTTGTAATGGGGGGGGCAGTGGGCTCGCAAAAAAAAAAAGAATCCTTGCTTTTGCCATGCAAGTTTTTGCTTTAAAGCCCTTTTAAAAAACCTTCAATTTAAACCAAGCAAATACATTTCAGATACATTACAATAGACCTTATTTAGAAAGTAGCCAGAGCCTGGGTAGAAAAGCCTGTCCCCTGCCCGCATGTTACAGGGAAGGACTCTTGCTCTCTGCAGCGCCCTGAAGTGTCCCCCACTGAATCAGACTTTTAGCTCTGCTATCGAAAAGCATGTGCGCCTTGCTGACTGGAGAGTTCCAAGCTCTGACTTGGCCGGGGACATGCTGGCCCTGTGCAGAGAGACCACTGCTTTCACACAGAGAGAGTAAGAGTCCCTCTCTAAAGCATGTACAAGAGAGAGGCCTTTATTTTTTATTTATTTTTGAACTTTTCTGGATTGTGGTTGCTTTCCAACACAGACTTTGCAAACCTTTTTTGTTTTGATGCATCTGGAGAGCATTCTGTTGATTTTAAATAGAAAGTTCAGTTGGGCTTTTAAATAACAAGTTTTATTTTTATCTTGCCTATTGATCACAATGCAAAAATGGAAAGATTTTCAGTGAGATTCAGGGAAATAACTTACAATTAAACTCGTCTCTAACTACCATTTTACCGTCCTTCAGTTTAGAGCAGTGGTCTACAAACTGGCCCGTGGGGCAGATGTGACCCTCTGCTTGCCTCTGTATGGCCTTTGGGGTAATATCCCCCCCACTAACACAATGCACTACTCCTCCCATTGACAACAACGAGGCATCGTTACTTCTGCTGACACCAAATATGGGGCACTGACAACAAAGATGGGCCACTGACACCTATGATGGGCCACTATTCATCCCACTGACCGCAAAGATGGGCCACTATTCATCCCACTGACACCGATGATGGGCCACTATTCATCCCACTGACACCGATGATGGGCCACTATTCATCCCACTGACATCGATGATGGACCACTATTCATCCCACTGACATCGATGATGGACCACTATTCATCCCACTGACAGCAATGATGGGCCACTATTCATCCCACTGACAGCCAAGATGGGCCACTATTCATCCCACAGACCGCAATGATGGGCCACTATTCATCCCACTGACAACGATGGGCCACTATTCATCCCACTGACAGCCAAGATGGGCCACTATTCATCCCACAGACCGCAACGATGGGCCACTATTCATCCCACTGACAGCAACGATGGCCACTATTCATCCCACTGACAGCAACGATGGGCCACTATTCATCCCACTGACAGCCAAGATGGGCCACTATTCATCCCACTGACACCGATGATGGGCCACTATTCATCCCACTGACAGCAATGATGGGCTACTATTCATCCCACTGACAGCAATGATGGGCCACTATTCATCCCATGACAGCAATGATATGATAGGCCACTATTCATCCCACTGACAGCAATGATGGGCCACCATTCCTACTGTTACTAACTACAGGCACTCCAAACCTCAAGCATTGTTTACTCCCATTGATGCCGAGGCATTTTCTTCTCCCGCTTGGCCATAGTCCAGCCCCCCTAAAGCCTGAAGAACAGTAAACGTGTTCTTTGAAAAGTTTGGAGACCCCTGGTTTAGAGGAATGATTTAATATTTGATAGCAGGATCTCTCTAATAGATGGTTGCTTAAAACAAGGCCTGTGGTCTTTTCTGGATTAATATTGGTTTGCCTTGTGTTAACAGGACATTGCCAGTCCCACTTGAATGATGGAGAGCATAATGCTCAGAAATACTTCCAACCTTACTCTCCGGAAGAAAAGACTTCAGAAGACCCGGGGAAAGACCCAAGTGCAAGATCCTCGCTACATCTTGAGAGTAAGCATTAGTCTTGATTTCATGCTTAGTTGGAAATGACAAATGTTCAAGAATAGAGGGAGGGTGGAGTGGTCAGAACAATCAGAATATGCATTTTGCATTTGCATACTTGACAGAATGGAGAGAGAGGACATACAGAGGTAGATATCAGGGGCACATGTATATAAACTATTTGGCCAAAGTTTGTGACCTGACCAATACATCTACATGAGCTACTAGTCCAAAACCATGGGCATTATATTGGAGTCGCATTTCAGGCAGTCATTGTGCTTGGTAATGTCTGTGAGCCAAGCCGCCTTTTGGACATCTCGGTTCACAAGCACTGTGTACAGAGCCATAATGAGGAGTTCTGTACCTTAGGATCTCTGTGATTGGTTCACGAAAGGCCGAACAGTTATCACATGATGTACACACAGTCTGTGTTTACATCTGAGAGCCCTCCCCTTCATTTTACAACACGGAGGGGAGGAGGAAGAAGTAATAAATGAATGACACATTCATTAGTTCCTGAACACATGGGGGGTTATTTACGAAAACTGCATGGTGCAAAATCGGGTGCAGAAACCAATCGGCTTTCAGGTTTTATTGTCCAAGCTTAATTAAGCTGAAATTAGAAGCTGATTAGCTACCATGCACAGCTGCACCAGATTTATTTTAAGTACTCATACAGCGCCGTCCATTTACGCAGCACTTTACATATATATTGTACATTCACATCAGTCCCTAACCCTCAAGGGGTGTACAATCTAAGGTCCCTAACTCGCATTCATACGTACACATACTAGGGGCTATTTAGACAGGATCCAATTCACCTAGAAGCATGTCTTTGGAGTGTGGGAGGAAACCTGAGTACCCGAAGGAAACCCATGCAGGCACAGGGAGAACATGCAAACTCCAGGCAGGTGGTGCCATGGTTGGGATTCGAACCAACGACCCCAGTGCTGCCAGGCGGCAGTGCTAACCATTTTGCCACTGTGCTGCCCACCATTATGAGATTCTGAGTGCGCCAGTTTTAGTAAATCAACCCCATGATATTGGCATCAGCAGATTCAAATAAAGATTAAACCTTTCACCCTTTTAAATGGGCTTTAATTGCTGGGAGGCTCCTGTATTATGTGATTGCTGTGATAGGCTCTCACAGCAGTCATATGATTGGAAGCCTACCTTACGGACTTCCAATCAGAACTCTTGACTGTGAGCTGTCCTGACTGTTGATCAATGTGCTTAGAGGGCGCCGTCCGCACAAAAACCTCCTGTCCTGCCGCCATGAATACATATGTGCAGTGGCTGGGTGTTTAAAGCCCATCTTTGTTGCCACCGCATATACGTTGCATGGTTTGCAAGAGGAAAAGGATGTATTGGTACACAGCAAATTTACAAGAAAGAAAAATGAGAAAGTCAAAGTACAAAGAAGAGGTAGATAATCCCTGTGGTCACTCTGAATACTGTCATGAAGGGAGTTCTATACATTCCATAGGTAATAGGATATAACTGGGAGCACCAGCAGTAGGACATATACAGCATTTAATAGTATGCAATATCCCTTAATCACCCTATATCTTTTTTAATTCTCCCCCCCTCCCTCCAGATGTTGTCTTAGCTGAATCAAACAATACGGAGGAACCCGCCCCTGAGGATCCAATGTCCGAAGAGATGCTGGCCCTCGTAGATGAGTTTGAAAACTCTTGGCCCCTAGAAGCCTTTGAGGGTGCGCTGGAGCTTAAAGGCAGACGAATGGACCTTCAGGGAATAAGAGTGTTGAAGAAAGGGGCTCAGGATGGCCAGTCTGGCTCCTGCTTTGGTGACTGTGATGATGATGATGAAGCTGAATGGGTAGGAACCTGTTTTATATGGTTGAGATTAAAAACTAAATAATGGAAATGTTTAATATTATGTTGATCACTTTTGATTATTCAATCCTAGCTGGACTTGTAAATATATGGCATTGAAGATAAGCTTGCGGAATTTTAAAAAAAAATTCTATAGTTCTACTGACTTGACACATTGACTTCTTGCCCATTCAAGGCAAAAGAAGACCGTGTGTGTGCAAAGGGGCCTTCCCCAACCTACTGGTAATCACCGTGGTCTTCATTTATTCACTTCTCTTTCCACTGCCTCAGCCACCAGAAATCCCCAGTGTTTGCAGGTATAGGGGGCATGTATGACCCTCCCATGTGATAGCGCTCGGGTCTGGCCCCTAGTGTCCAATACCATCTGACAGTAGGCAGCTGTGACAAAGAAAGGGGAGGTGGGAACACTGTTCAGGTAAGTGTCAGGGGGGTCGATTTTTTGCCATGGGATGCTATCACTTGCTTGGAGTCGTCAAGGTGTCATTCTCTTTTTAAAGGATGAGTTCACCTTTGGAACATGTTACATCCATATGTAGGGTGTAACACGGTCCAATAAAAACACCATGCCTCCCCCCCTCCCGACTCCACAAGATCATCTGGTGAAAAGCGGTAGTAAAACGACCTTTTTTTAAAAATACAATGTCATAATGTGTGCTAGTATGCATTGCGTAATTGCATTATGTGAAACTTGCCTTAAAACAAAGTCCTCCAGCGGCGCACCCTCACTGCTGACAGGGCTTTCAGCTTCACCTGGTCCTTCTTCCAGGTTCTCAGGCTCTGACAGCTTGAATGACCGAGCTGTGCTGAAGTCACTTTTTACAGCACTCAGTTCCAAAGAAACAGCCCAGGCATGTCCGTTCCTTCGGAGTGCATGTGCTGGTGGTGTCTTTTGCAAAGTAAACATGTCCTAAACGATGCACGTTTAGGAGATATTCACAGTACCTACGTGGGTAACGCATTATTATAGGCTTACCTGTAGGTACAAGGTAAAAAAAACATTGCTACCACTTTATAAAAGGGAAAAAAAAACTATTGCAGCTGCCACATCTAACTGGCAGGCTGCAATATATAAACATTTTAGTCAGGTTTATATACCTTATTACGTAAAGTATAACTAATGGGAAATTCTTTTTTATTTTTTTCTTGTTTTCTGATAGAGTTGGAGAAATGGACTAAGAACACTCCATCTTCTTCCTTCTTCATTCTTTCGTCTTTCATTTTTCTTTCTTTCTTTCTTTTCCTTTTCCTTCCTTCCTTCCTTTTCCTTCCTTCCTTTTCCTTCCTTCCTTCCTTTTTCCTTCCTTTCCTTTTTTCCTTCCTTCCTTCTTTTTCCTTCCTTCCTTCTTTTCCTTTCCTTCCTTCCTTTTCCTTCCTTCCTTCCTTTTCCCCTTCCTTTTTCCTTTCCTTCCTTTTTCCTTCCTATTTCTTTTCCTGTTCTTTCCTTTTTTTTTCCTTTTTAATTCCTTCCTTTTTCTTTTTCCTTCCTTCCTTTTACCATCCATTTTCCTTCCCTTTTCCCTTCCTTCCTTTCCTTTTTTTCCTTCATTCCTTCCTTTTCCTTCCTTCCTTCCTTTTCCTTCCTTCCTTTTCCCTTTTCCTTCCTTTCCTTCCTTTTCCTTCCTTTCCTTCCTTCCTTCCTTCGAAGATTCTCTTTTTCCTTCCTTCCTTTTCCTTCCTTCTCCTTCCTTCCTTCCTTCTTCCTTCCTTTCCTTCCTTCCTTCCTTTCCTTCCTTCCTTTTCTTCCTACCTTCCTTCCTTTCCTTTTCTTTCTTTTCCTTCCTTCCTTTTCCCTTTTCCTTCCTTCCTTTTACCCTTTTCCTTCCTTCCTTTTTTTTCCTTTTCCTTCCTTCCTTTTTTTCCTTCCTTTTTTCCTTCTTTCCTTTTTTCCTTCCTATTTTTCCTTCCTTTTTTTCCTTCCTTTTTTCCTTCCTTTTTTCCTTCCTTTTTCCTTTCCCTTTTTTCTTTCTTCCTTCCTTTTTCCTTCCTTTTTTCCTTCCTTTTCCTCTTTTCCTTCCTTTTTCCTTCCTTCCTTTTTCCTTCGTTTTTTCCTTCCTTCCCTTTTTTCCCTCTTTTCCTTTTTTCGGGGGATTCTTTTTTTCTCTTATTCCTTTCTTTTTTTCCTTCCTTTCTTTTCCTCTTTTTCCTTTTTTTTTATCCTTCTTTCTTTTCCTTCCTCTTTTCCTTCCTTTTTTTTCCTTCCTCTTTTCCTTCCTTTTTCCTTCCTTTTTTCCTCTTTTCTTCCTTTTCCTTTTCCTTTTTCCTTCCTCTTTTCCTTCCTCTTTTCTTCCTTCCTTTTCCTTCCACCTTTTCCTTCCTTCCTCTTTTCCTTTTTCTCCTTTTCCTTCTCTTTTTTCCCCTTTTTCTTTTCCTTTTCCTTTCTTCCTTTTTCTTTTCCTTTTCTTCCTTTCTTTTCTGACCTGTTACTTCCTTCTCTTTTCCTGTTTTTCTTAACTTTCGATTCAATGTTATCATCTGGTGGAGTGAAGGTGAATGAGAATGAAAGAAAATCACAAAAATTTGGGTTGTTACCAGAACAGTTAATGGAGGTCGAAATCTTCTTTTCTTTTCAATCTTCTTTCTTGACAACCTTTATTGCAGCATACGTATTTGCTTACGTCAGTGTCCCACCTCCCCACCTTGTCCAATTAGAGAACAGTTTTCATTCAATGAGAAAATGCAGAGAGTTCCCTGAGTGGCATGGGACCCGGACGGAAGCGGAGATCACTGGAAAGATACTGTCTACTTCAGTGATTTCCAGCTTCTAGAGGGATCTTACAGGTATGGTATATGCATAGTTATATTGGTCCAAGCTGGTACGATGTAACTATATAAAAATGCCGTACCTGGAATTCATCTTTAACTATGCTGGACATTTTTCGAAGTTTGTCTCGGAGACGCAACACATTATTTTTTGTTTCATATTTTGCAGATTACTTTTCAAGTCAAACGTCTTAAGAAACCAAAATTAGATGGCTCTAATATGGCGGACCTCCCTGAGGGGGCTGATGAAGATTCCATTGATGTAGGAAGTGCTGACTTACAAGCTGCCCTGGAAATCAGTGGTCCAAAAATACCTGCTCCAGGTCCGCAAGGTAGCATACCTTTACTCCACTCTGTTCTGCAGTGAGTAAAGGTGACCATATGTACGAAATAATTGGTGGCCAATCTAAGCATTTACAATTGTCCATAGAACACATTTAATCTGTGGAGACACCCTCCCCTCGTGAAACTTCCCAGCAGGAACACAAACAGCGATAAAAACTTGATGGGATTACTTCTAAGGCTTCATGCACACAGGATGTTTTAACAACGCTGGTAGCATTAACTGTGTAAAGTCGCATTAAAAACGTGAGTTTTTTTTTTCGCTTTAGCGTTTAGCGCCTTTTTTCAGCGTGTTTTCTGCATGTGTAGGTTTTGTCTTTTTTTTGCTAAAAAAAAGGTGCAAAAATGCAGTTTACCGTGTTTTTCCAGCTAAAAAACACCTAGGAGCTCACTAGTTCTGTGTTTTTTTTTTTTTTTGTTTTTTTTTTTTTACCAGCCAAAAAACACCCCTGCCAAAAAAGCTGATGAAAGCCTGTGTGTGCATGGACACAACGGATAACATGCTGGAGAATTTACTGGCTGTAGAAAAATGTCAACAGCAGCTGTGAAAAAAAGTCCAGTGTGCATGAGGACTTACTCGTTTTTTACTTTTTTCTTTTTTTTTGGGGGGGGGGAAGTCCTATTGTAATTAGAGTTTCATCCATAGCCCACACAATATCATATTGAATAATACACCTTCACACAGACTAGGGAAAACAAGAGCTCCACATCAAAGGTGTAAAAGTGGAAATCCAAAGAAAACCCATTTTAGGGGCTCATCAACAACCAGCATGTTTATTCCCTACTTGCATTTAGCCCTTTAATAATCTACGCAAGTCTATCATTCCTTTCAAACAAGCAGATTAAATCAACACTCTCACTTGAAACCAGAGGTGGACAAACTTGGAGAGGTGGGAATCTACATGAAGAACGTGAGAGATGTAACATTACCAGAGTGCAGCACACTTTATTTTTTCTTTTTTTTTTAAATGAGCTAACCTAGACTTCTAAAAGTCCTATTAAAAAAGGTTTCAAAAGTTCAGGGTCACAAATAACACAGGGCTCGGTAGTAACTATTAGAGAACAGGGCACAAGAATAAGTAATGCAAAGTGCAGAGGTCAGTAGTAACAGTGCAGGGTCAGTAGTAACACACAGTTCAGAGGTCTGGAATAAGTAACGCCGAGTACAGGGGCCATTAGTATGTTGTAATGCACAGTGCAGTAGTCAAAGTACACACTCATCTGCATTGTAGGCAGCAAAAACTGCCAGTCCCTCTTATAACACTGACAGCCCAGAACTAATAACCTGTCTTTACAGCTGGCGCACTTGTGCAGCTTGTTGCCCACTGGCAGCAAACCGGGTCTTTTACACACTCCCAGCTTGCATGGACTTGATGTGCAGCACAAGTCCACCTGGGACCACCATTTCCTCTTTGCGCTGCTTTAACATAGACACGTCTTGTGGTTTTGGGCCCTTCCTCACTGATTGCCATTGGTTTTCTAGATCGATAGTCCTGCCATATTGCCAGTTGCCCCCTCTCGGATCTGAGAGGCAGAGAATGAGGACAGGAGCTGATGGCACAGTGGAATCACGATCTGCCAGTCAGGTGGCCTCGGTCATCAAGTTGCCAACCCTTAGCTTAAAGTGGTTGTAAACTCTTGTTTGAAGTGACTGATACTCACAGATGAAACAAATCCTCCCACACAAGTTATCTGCAGACCCTCTCTTCTCTACAGCTGTTCAACGTGTAGAATTTTTGAAGCTGAACTCTAGAACCGAGACAATTTATCAAATTCAGATCCCTCTCCCTAAATTACCAGTTTAAATCCTGTTGACTTTTCTTGTAATCCGACATTTCCAGCCCCAGTGACATCACGACATCCTTGGAAAAAGTACTTCTTCCTGGCGCCAGGAAGAGGACTTTCTCTCTTGCTGCACATCACTTCTGAGCAGAGAAAAGGACTACATTTCCCATGATTGTAGGAAATGGACGCACCCCCGCCACACATCCCTTGTCACCATTTTTCTCTCGGTGTCAGGAAAGCTTGTCAGAAGGGTCTCGTGCTGATAGCAAAGGAATAAAGCAAAAAGAAAAAGAAAAAATCCTCCTGCGCTTGAAATAGAGCCCTAACCCTAAAAGCTGCTGACACTAACCTTATGACCTATTAGGTGAAGTGACTAATTATTACAAAAAAGTGTAGCGCTAATAAACAATATATATAAATAAACAGTATTGTGACACACTCAATCCCCTTAAAAATACTCAAAAAAGGGGGGTAACACACAAATTTGTGCAACACGTGACTTCCCACTAAGGGAATATAACAAGTGCAAGTGATAAATACTCAAATCGTGATTCACAAAAAATGTAACAGTGACTTTCAAATTAATATAAACTCAAAACAGTCCACACACAGTGCATATATATACACTATATAAATTCTGATAAGTGCTTCCATTCGATAATCATGCAGGTGACTGTGTGTAATTCGTGAACAATCCTCCAGTGACCTAAGTGGCCCCTCACCTCATTAACTCGACCCTACAGGGTCAGCTCGCTCAAAGGATCACAGCAATCCTGATAAGGGCAGATTCCTCACAGGCTCCCCTCAAGGAAATGAACGCTCCTTATTCCAAGCCTCCATGCAGTACAATAATACTCTCCCCGGATCATAGATAGACAAAGAAAACTGTTGATTTTGAAGGGAATCCAGAAGCAGTGGGCGGGGCAGTGGGGTTTATGCTGATGAGGGTTTATGCTCCGCCCACTGCTTCTGGATTCCCTTCGAAATCAATTCTTCATTTGATGATTTCTCTTTACTGTAGAAGCGGACAGCAGCTTATTAAATTTGTCCTATCTTGCATTTTTCTTGTTTTGTTTGACTCTTGTGCCCATCTCACACAGGCAGGCGACCTGATTACCGTAGTCTGGGGTGGCCGAGTCCTGATGAGTGCCTGAAATTACGCCGTGTTGAATTGTCTACAGTGGCCAGTACATGGCTGGCTGTATCTGCTAAAAATATAGAGTAAGTACATCTTTAGGCAGTGGGGTCATCGTTCTAGATCTGTTCTAGATTTAGTTTAAGCAGTTGTAAACCCCCCGAAAAAAGTCTGTGCAATAAACATTGTGTACCTTTTTAATACAATGTATTTGGATGAAAATAAATGTTGATCCTGCCAGTAACTTTCTCTTGCTTGTTAGTGGTGTCAGCGATCTGCAGGGTCGTCTACCCTCTGCAGCAATGCCACCATATTGCCATGGATCATTGTCCGAACGGTAGACACAAATCCAACACGTCCTGCGCTCAGAGACCCAGATCAGAAGAAGGCCAGTTGAACAATATGATGAAAGTATAATGTTCATCCAACACTAAACAAAGTATAAAGCGAGCGCTATTCAGTCCAGCAGCTGTACACTCAAAGTAACCAAATAAACCTCAATATAGAATATCATAAGAATAGTGTAGCGCTTAAAATGATAGTCCTTGTTCCTGATCAGTAAATGTTCCTCACAATCGGAATAGAAGAAGTGCCCACTCACCAGAACCACACTTGGTGTGTTGCAGAAAGTTAAAATTGATTCCTGGTTTCCCTGAAGAAAAACCTCTGGATCAGCACATGGATGGATATCCCTCTTCTGGTCAAGCAAGCGCAGGATCATAGAAAATTAGGCTCCGGCACAGAGTTCCCCTTAAGGGATGTGTGGGTGTTGCTCTAGATTTAGTAGTAACCTCCCTCTCTGGATATACTCGGAGCAGTACTGCTTCTGAAAAAGATGTGCTCCCCATCCGGGGTCAGAACAAAAGAGTACCCATAGTGTAGTAAGGTTGGAAGAAATTAAGTATTTATTCTAATTCGCTGGATGCATCCACAATGTGTCAAAATCAGAACGGCAGATAGCAAAAGTACACTGACCGTCCCTGAAATGAGATGGCCGCCGGAGCTCCACGATGGTCCGACGGCGTGACGTCAACAGAGCGAGCAGGCTCCTCCTTAGGCGTTGCGTGCCACGCACATCATCAGAGGATTGAGCCGGTACATCCAACACTGATCAACGGTTGTGCGGCTCAAACACGAAGCTGGGGAAGCTCGATAAACACTGTAGTAGAGAACAAAAAACAAAGCGCACCAACCTTGCACAATACCTCAGTAGGCAATTAATACATTTATTGATAAGAAATATACTCACAAGAGTAGCAATATAAAAGGCATGTAACATCAAAAAGCGAAACACTGGGTTAGGAGACACGTGCAAATCCCATCAGGAAGGGAGATTCTCTCTTGGTCAAGCTGATGCATTTTGTAGGGGGTCCCTTCTTCCTCAGAGTGGGCAGGACAAGTCTTCCCTGCTGTGAATTGGAATTGAACGTTCTTGGTGACATAGGGAGTCTGACAGGGTGGGTAAGATTGTATGACAGTGACTCCACCTGTCATTGCAGTTCACGGCAGGGGCAGACTGCTACCACCCACCACTCTGGACGTTCAGATCAGAGAGCAAGGCAGTGCTGTGATCTGGGACAAAAACCTGGAACATTGGTATTTGAAAGTAATTTTTTTTTTTTTTTTTTTAATAATGCATTACTCTTTAATTTTGGTTAAAGGGTCGGTTCACACTAGGCCCTTATCTGAATAGCACAGGAACGCACTGTGTGTTCCTGTGCGATTCATTTGCAGGTCTATTCTGTGCCTGCACTACTTTTTTTTAAACACATGGCAACCGCATTGCATGGTACCGGCTTGTGCAGCCAAACACAATGCGTTTGCGACCTGCGTTCGGGGTGTCGATAACTTTAGCTGACCCCCCGCAGCAGATCGCAAGGGCATTGTGATCGGAATGCGGTGAGGGAAGCCATGCGCAGCTCTCCCGCACCGCATTCTAGTGTGAACAAGCCCTGAAAGGAAATTCCCAGCCTACATTTGTAAAAACAGCATTTAGGTTTACAAACCCTTTAGGCCCTATTCACTTGACACTTTAACTTCAACTGCAGAAAAAAAAAAATCCAGTGGATTTCTGCTGCTGGAGTCACAGGTGCTTGCAGACAGTTGCAGCCACTCGGCCCATACAAATCAATAACAGGCAGCAGCCGCAGTGTTCGCATGTAATCATATATGGAGCGATTACCTGCGGCTAGAGATAGATGATCACCCCTGAATACTAGATGTTGGATGTCCACTGGCAATCATCTGTTCCTAAACATAGGCAGGAAAGTGTTTTGTGTGCAATTGCACCCGAACACTGGCTACAGCTGTGGCCGCTGTTGGCCTGTCATTGCTTTATACAGGCTAAGTAGCTGCAACGATCTGCAGCTAACTGTGAATCCAGCTACAGAAATCCGCTGGATTCTTGCAGCCGCTGGAGTAAAAATTTGTGTGGATGAGGCCTTAAAGCTTGCTATAACTTAACATTCAGTGAGCTATTATCTGTTAAAAAGGATCACTGTTGGCAGAAAATGTAGATGACTAGTTCTCCTTTTCCCATGTAGTACCATGGATGGGGGAAAAAGATAAATTAGCTTGTCCAAAGTCATCGTTTTGTATGTCGTGACCGTACTTGATCACTAGTAAACTGTAGATACAATCTCTGAGATATTGGTGTCTCATTTTTTGCATCCAAAATGTACGTGACACAGGTGCTCATATGTTTTAGTTTTTCTTGTGGGGGGATGAGCTGATGGTGAAAATAAAAGTTCATTTGTTAGGTGGAGGTAGGATAGGCTTCGGTAAGGAGATGCCTTTTCAGGGATCACCTAAAGGTGGATAGGGTAGGACATAGTTGGACAGATTGGTGTACATATAAAGAAGAAAGAAGACTTAAAATAGTTCCCAGGTATACGCAGAGCAGCCAATACTTCCTGGAGTGTCAAACTACCAGGTCCTTGCAGCTCTCACTGGCTCTTTCTTCCAACTTCACCATCACTGCAAAATTTTTGATAAGGAGATTTTAAAGGGTTTTTTTTTTTTTAGATTACATATTCGACTGCTCTGGGCACTGGTTTTGCACGGAGCAGCCCTTATCCTTCTCTTCTGAAGTCCCCTGCTGATGTTCCTGGCCCCTCCTACCTTCTGAGTACCCCCCACCTCCCCAGCAAGTCACTTGCTAGGGGGAAACTCATGTGGGCTCAATTCCAGGCTGCACTGTGTGTGTCTATTGACATACACAGTGCAGCTCGGCCCCACCCCCACTCCCTCTTCAATAAATTTGATTGACAGCAGCAGGAGCCAATTGCTTTCACTGAGTCCAGTGAGGGGAGAGAGAGCAGTGGCGGATTGAGATCGGGCTCAGGTAAGTATCTAGGAAGAGGCAAGGGGGGAGCTGCATCTAAAAGGTTTTTAATGCTGCGAATGTTTAAAGGAAGAAAACCTTTAGCCTTTACATCAACTTTACAATCAGCAAGAGAGGGATCAGTGAGAACTGTGGGGGACCTACAAGGTCAACACGCCTCAAAGTGTTGGTTCCCAAGCGGACCATTTCTACAATACGGTAAGTGTTGTCACCCCAGAGACAAGAAGCGTTGCTGGCAGGATCACCAAGTTAAAATAAATTGAAAAAAAGCTGCAAGTAGAAAATTAATGTAGCCGAGAACTGGTTTAGAAACACTTTAAGGCCCCATGTACACTATCGTTTTTGTTTTTGTTTTTTTTTGAGGGGGGGGGGTTTGCGCTCAAAAAAATGCAGGATAAAAAACTGGTAATAGCAATTTTTAGTAATGTTTGGAAACATTTAGGAGCGTTAGCGTTTTTACAGTACATATAGAGGGGGGGATGTGGAAGCTGTTAGTAGTGTTTTAGGAGCGTTTAGCTTTTCTTTATACTGGAAAAACACTCCAACAAAACTCTACAAAAACTATTTTTTTTTTTTCCGCTCCTAGATGAGGAAGCTCAAAAAATGCTAATAATAACGTAGTGTGCATGGAACGATAATACTGTTTAGTAGGAACAGAAAAAAATGCTAATGGCTTCTAGGAGCTTAAAAAATGATAGTGTGCATGGAGCCTAAAGAGTATCGAAAACCCAAGAGCTTTTTTTTTTTTTTTTTTTTTTCCCCCATTGTGTAGTAGGGAAGGGTTCAGACCTCTGTAAGTTTTTTTTTTTTTTTTTTGCCATTTGCACTGTTTTAGAGATTTCTCTTTACTTCTTGCATTATCTAAAGTGAGGAAATCTCTCTAAAGGAGGGATGACCCATTAAATGATCTTTCTGTCATCTTCTTCTGGTGACAACACAAAATTCCTAATTGTTGGTAATTTTATTGCTGGATACAGTGGTCACCAGGTCGGTTACAAACGGGGAATATCCCCAGCAGGGATGCAGAAAGTTATAAAAATGTGGCAGGGGTTCTAACCCTCTACCACTCCAAGTCTTTAAAAAAAAAATGTTTGGTATTAGATACACTTTAACATAATATACAGAACACTTACATTGCGTTTGCATTTCCATCAGCTTAAAAGGACGTGTTCTTCTCTCACTCTCGAATTTGTCTCTTAGTATTACAGAGCATGTGGACTTTGCCACTCCGCTGCAAGAACCAGGGGTGGAGCCTCTCTGTAATGCCAACATGGCAGCTAGTATGCATACACTGGACCACCTGTATGGGGTTGCCAATAGAGCTGCCATACACTACACTGGGGAGAGCCAGCTGAAAGAGGTAAGTGCCATATCCAGTCCCACCATGATTTTACCATTCATACTTAAATCTTATGCATGGACTCCAACCTATCCTTCCAGCCCCAAGTCCAATCTTTAACAAACTCATGCAGACTCCACCTCCGCAACATCGCCAAAATCCGCACATTCCTAACCCCAGAAACCACTAAACAGCTCATCCACTCCATCATATCACGACTCGACTACTGCAACTCCCTCCTCACTGGCCTGCCTCGCCGCTGGCTATCCCCGCTTCAGTCCATCCTGAATACGGCTGCCAGACTCATTCACCTTTCCAACCGCTCCATCTCCGCCACCCCCCTCTGCCAATCCCTCCACTGGC